AAGAGATTTATAGCAATTTCACTGTTTTTTATCGATTTATAGTGATTTATAACAGTTTGTAACAACTATATTATAATGGATTCATTTTTATTCAATTACAAGCATATCAGGATTTATATAGTCATATCTCGGGCTAAGCTAATTTTATATTTACATGCATATGCACAGCACCTTCGGCTAAATTGGATTGTGACATGATGTATAATGTACCACATGTGATCTCCTAAATCCTCGATAGTTCTAGGAGAGTTCCAGGAGCTGGCGAGTTTCTATAAATCACGAGATGATCAGCCAACCAGGTTTCGGATTTTTTCTTTAGCCGGGCTCGTCAGAAGAATGAAATAAATCGTGTGGCACAGTTTTTTCATTAGCAACAATCAAAAAAATTCATTATCATTCCGATGCATTATATAGACACCACACCCATACTTATGTAAAAAGTAAATGCAGGCGAAACTTTATTAATATTTATGAATATAGCAGATATGCGCGGTCACAACATAGAAAAGTAAATTATTTCACAAATCTGTCATCCAGATGTAAAATTAAAGATATTAACCCAATACTACTATAAAAAATTATGCATTATAACCTATTGAAACCAGAATTTGTAAAAGACAATTGCATTAGCAAAAACATCATATAACTACAATTTATATGGACATTTTAATTGGTGAAAACTTGACACCATTGGTCAAACGTTGGTGGCCTTTATTTAAGGCACTGTAAAATGATGCTGTGTTTTTTCTTGTTCGCTCCTTCCAGGACAGAATTGATTTTACACCCACCACCAATTTTGAAAATCCTTCTACGGTCTTTGGGACCTCTATGTGCTGGAGATCCATTGTTATTATGGTATCTTCGAAGAGATACTTGGACGCAGAGATCTTAAGTCAGAATCCATTTGACTGAAGGCTATATGCCTCTATATCGGTAATGTTGGCCTTAGAGTTGGATGGCAATGCAAAGAATAGAACTGTAAGAATTACTTTAGAGCAAAACTCCAACTTTTGTAGATCGCCCATTCTTTTGTTATGTGTGTTTAAGACTCCGTCTTCTTGAGCTATTATTTCAGTGCTCAAGGATTTAAGGAATCCTTTTCCATTGAGTTTAGAGCACTTCGGTTGGCAATATTCAACACTTCCTTAAGCTTTTTGTACGATCTAGATGCCAGCTCACCACAGCTTAATTTTAAATCTTCCCTCCCGAGAAACGCATTTTTGAGCAATGGGGTCCAAACATAAGTACTAAACTCATGCTCGGACATGGGTTGAAGTAATATGTCATTTTTGTATAATAAATGAAAATGGTCAAAAAGGTTCCTCACGTAGATAAGGTCATTTGATGCCTCTGACCTTTTGATTGGGTTCTCATCCAAACATTTCGCCAGAGATTCCAAATCTCCTATCTCCTTGAATTTTCCAAGAAATGTAATGCTTCTGTATTACAATCCATCACGAATTTGTCAATATATCGCCCATCAGCAAAATAGACAGCATCAATTTCGTGATCTTGAACTTGGTCTGCGATAAATTTTTTGAAATTCGGAGATAAAAATTTAACACAGTTGTTGTTCTGAATATTGACAACATTAATGGAAAGGGGACTTTTTGCGGAGTCATTTTTCTTCATTGTTGATCGGGCAAAATCCAGTATATCGGCATCATTGTATATCAACCTATCTCCTGGTAGAACACGTGTTTGGTAGGCTTTCAATACTTCATCTGCAATGTCACGGTTGATGTATTTTCTGGGGTTCTTTGGTTTTTGTTCTTTACTGATGCTCGAGTCGATTGTCTTGGTTGTATCTATTTCGGGACTCTGTAAATGACTGTTGCGAAGTCTTGAAGTTTGTAAGAGTTGGGGAGACTTTTCATCACTTGAATCACTGTAAGCTAATTCTGCTTCCATTTCACTAGTAGTTGATGGACTGAATTAACGTTCGGGAGTTCGCTGTTGAGCCTGAGACTGCAAATCATGTGAGACATCACTCGGAACGGGTTTCGCCTCCTCATTAATTTCATTTGTTTTGATCTTCTTCCGCACTCTCTGATCTGGACCAAATTCTATGTCTGAATATTCTTTATATCCTCATCTTGCTATTTGATGAACATCATATCTTCCCTTTTTCTATAATAACGAATTCAACAAGGACTAAATAAGGAGCTGTTAAGAAGTATAAGAGGTAAACTTGAATAAATCACTCGCCTTGGCAATTTTCAATTCCAATTCAACTACGTTAGACTCCAAAAGTAACGATGAGATTTGTTCCTTCTTCTTCCAAACTTTACAATCACTTTTCTGTATGGATATAAATGTATAAAAAGTTAGTCTAACAACACACTTTTGAGATACTGGATGGAGTTCACAAAATGCCACGATGCTCGCTCGCTCGACAACGTTTCTATGCTTCTACACTCGGTAATAGCCGTCGGTTTTTGCACTCGGAAAAACCTTCTCAACACTCAGTTGCCGGTTTAGGCATAGAGTACGTCACGCGTTTCAATAGCCACGCACACGCGGTGCTACCTGTCGGTTTTTGCACTCAGAAAAACCTTTTCAACACTCAGTTGCCAGATTAACTATCAAGTACGCTGGCATAACAAAATTCATGAAGTCAAAAAAAAACTATACCTCCCTTCAATTCGTTCTATCAATGACAAGCTGTCTTATAAATAGGATGGTTTTCATCATACATCTGCTTTAAGCATCTTAGCTCGTCACCCAAGGCTGAGTGAGAAAGACGTTTATTAACCTGTAACGAATCCAGTTTCTTAAGCAAGTAAAGGTCCCAATCTTTTATGCTTTCCCAGGTGTCAGGTTCTCAGTCCCAGTAATCTAAACAGCAAAAGGTTTGTTCTCTCATTATTCTGTTAAAAATAGAAAGTAAAGTAACAGACCTACTTGGGTGTTTTAGCTTTGAACGTTCTTCTTCCGACATATACGACATATCAAAATATTTGCGAATAAGAAAAATTTTTTTTGTATTTCTATCCTTCAGTCGCGTCACCTCAAAAAAGCACTGACACGTGATCATAGTAATGTTTGTCACCTGACTCATTATTTTCACCCTATTTGTCACGCTTTAGAATTAGAGGTGGTTAGTCAGAGAGAGGCATAATTCCAGCCAAAAATCACATGCCCGAGCTTTTTTAATGATCACACGCATCTGCTCTGATGAAAAAAAAATGATTCAAATGCCCTAAAGTGGGTGAAAACTTTATTAATGACTTTTCAGATACATAGCAAATCAGAAAATGATAGAGGTAGCGAATGAAATGAATGAAATGTATAAGAAGGAGTGAGTTCTCGATCTTAGGCTAATTTAATGCATTAAATTTTTTTTATTACAAGCCAGATATGTGCAAATTATGATAAAATTTATATTTGAGAACATATATACACATAAAACACGCACATGTTTAAAAAATTCGAAGTAAAATCTTTTATTATATTTTTTTTATAAAGTAATAAATGAGAAAGGGCCGGCTAAGTAAAAAATGAATGTAAAAAACAATAGAGTAGCAGGTTGTTTCAAGGGAGGAAAGGCATAAAAGAACATGCCTGCTTGTTAAGCCTGCTGAGCCCTAACTCATATATTGGCAGTTCCTTCCCCACTACTCTCCTAAACTATTAATAATTTCTTTATTATCTACCCAACTCATAATTGACATTACTATAATAAATTTTGGATCCCCTTGACCATAATAAAAACTTTTCACAGTACTCTTCCCAATCTTATACCCAGTAAGTTCACAAATTTCACGTCTTACAGTTTCAAACGCATTATCCCTCACTTCTTTGTTCAAATTAAAAACTCGCTTAAAACGGCTCCTATTTTCTTCAAGAGCTGAATCAGATAATCGACTAGAAGAACTTTCGCTACTAGAGGAATCATCTTGATGCTTTTGAGCAATTGCATAACGTTGGATCATTTCATTTCAGAGTGCTTCAATGGAGGTCTTGATCGAAGTGAATTCAGATGAAATGTTGCCAAAATCATTATGGCAGGCTTCTTCAATATTATTAAGTCTTGTGGTCACATTATTGACCATCGATAAAATTTTCTGCGCCTCAGAGACGTAGCCAGCATCACGTGAATTGATTTTAGCGATTTCTCTGGTAAGTTTCTTATTAAGTTCATTATTGTTTTTGACAAGCTCTGCAGTGAAAGTAGAATTAACTTCAAAAAGACGTGCGGAAAATTTGTTGGCAATTTTAGTACTAACTTCTATGCTAAACTTTTTGTTCATTTCAATAAAGGTCTTTTTGATTTCCGCAATAATACTTTTACCACGTGCCTTATTTTTTTTAATTTCTGTAGTAATTAACATTAATTTCAGATATACGTGCAGAAAGCTCATTAGCGATTTTATTATCACGTGAAGGAAGATCATTGGAGAAATTTTTTCTGATGATATAAATCAAGAAAAATACGCTAAGAAGAATAAAAGGTGTAAAGTCTTCAAAGATATGCCACAAGGCATTATTTTGCAAGATGAGTGCAGACATATTTTCAGAGTAAAGTAGAAAAAAAATATGTTCAAGTATATTAGATCACAGGTAGTTTTACGTAATTTTTTACGATTTATTAGTATGATTTATTGCTAGTGAAGCTAAAGGTGGAATCCACACCCCTTTTATACATTTTATAATCAGTTTCATAGCAAGATTCTCAAAAGAATTACCCATTAATGCTAGTATAATTAGAAGAGAAAACCTGTGTTGAAATAATATAGGCCTGGAATAATTGTGAAAATGATATCATATATATGCTTCTCATTTCTGAAAAAGAAAATTATCAAGATTCTGTCCAATATCTGTACCTAAAGACAAAAAAGTTAGTACATTCTCGTATCTCCATATCCCTAATAACATATTCAAGCAATAAAATAATAATATTTTTTCGTAAATGCTTGGCCGTGAGACCTTACACAAGAGAAAAATTTTTTATTAATAAAAATTTATTGAAATATTCGTTAAATCCCTCTGGGATCACGTATGTACAAGTATGTGAATAAGCTATATTATAAAGTACATTTTTGTCTAAAGAAAGACTGAAGAAAGAACTAAATATCTGTATATGAGACGCTGTTTACAAGAGAAATTTGATATTTTTTTTCTTACTTTAAACATATAAGAAGGCGGAAATTCTATTTATTTGTGACACAGTTCAATTAGAAGTCCTTCACCATTTACCCCTATAATGTAGATCAAAATGAAAGGGAAATAAGCAGAGTATTTATAAAAAAATATCAGACAGATCTGCATAAATATTTTTGCGAAAAATTAGCTATTCTAAAAATAAAATTATTAGGAGTATTAGTGTAAATTTTACATTTTTTGTACCTTCACGATTTGCAAATATGCGCAGATTATCTAATAAAATATACTGTTTATTTGATATGATCAGGAGAAAAAAATTACGTTAAAATAAATATCCAATGAACATGCTAAACTGATATACTATAAATTTATACAATGAAGTAATTATATATCTACCGTTTATTATCTATATTGGCTGATATACCCCTATTGTAAAAAAAAATCTGAATAAAGATTATTAATCATGGATCGAGATCTGTAAAACAGTAGATGATAAATTATCCATGTCAGATTATGTACTGCTAATTCCTATGACTTTATTTTAAAAACGGATTAATGTATAATTAACCTATACATTAAACATGGGTATCGAAATCGAAACCTCCTGAAACTCTTTAGGTTTTGGTATATAATAAAACCTAATTTTGGAAATGCATTTATTTTTCTGAAACCCAAAACCTGAAACCTGATTTCGAAACTTATAAACTGAAATATGCTAAAACTTATTTTATTGTTTTATAAATTTATTATATTATTACTAATAT